CTTCACCACCACGTCTTGCGCTGAATGACCCACATGGGTTTAGCGCTTAACATGAATTATTATTGATATATTACAGCTCTATTACCATGCGATCCCCAGTGCCATCATTCATGCTGTCACCTATACCATCAACCATGCTATCCTACATGCTCTGCCTCATGCCATCACCCTTACTATCCCCTACGCCTTCACCCTTGCTATCCCCTACGCCATCACCCTTGCTATCCCCTACGCCATCACCCTTGCTATCCCCTACGCCATTACCCATTTTATCCCCCATGCAAATCTTGCTTTAACATATTCCTTTATATTCTTGTTACGCGCTGTATCTAAGAGACACGAAACATTACCGATATATAATATGCAGCCTCGTCAGCGTCTCTGCTAATTCAATCACCTTATAACTTTTACTAAATCATAAAACAAAAGGCAGAAACTGACACGTGTACTTGTCTGTCTTGCAGCATAAAAAAAAAGATATAACAAAATCAACGAATAGTGGAAGCCCATTGGATGTCAGGCCAGCATAACTGGACCAATAAGAGTGCTGAAAATTTGGTAAGGTTAATGTGATACGCTTACTCAAATTGTCTTTTGTTGTGGAATTAAGAAACGTGCAGATTTTACCAGTGGATGTAGAGTTCTGTGTTTGGAGGTGTAACCTCGTGTGGAAACTCAAATCCCTGTAAACCGAATTGGGAAGTTAGTAAATACGCAGCCAAAAACTGATCCGAAATTTTCCCTACGATACATCAGCTCTGAAAGTTTGAAATTTATCTGATAGTCATATTTAGTTTATCACACGAAAACGAAAAACACCCATGAAAATTTATTCAATAAAATTGGCAAATTGGAATTTATATAGTCGAAAAACCAATTACAGCTTCCTTGGCATCATAAATTTGAAGTCTGGCACTAACACTGATTAATAACAACCTGAATTTTCCTCTGATTATTATTATTATTATTATTATTATTATTATTATTATTATTATTATTATAAAAAAGAAGCGCTAAACCACAAGGGCTATACAGCGCTGCAATTTTCCTCTGAGAAAGATACTTCATCGTTGAAAGGTTGAAGCCGATCAGAAGAGTCGTTCTGAAGGTATTGCGCGGTAACCACGGAGAAAAAAATCCGACAACTCCCTTGGGAAATTCTAAACGTTCTGTACACTAATAGAACGTTCGGATTTAGCTTAGTTTGCAATCTAAAGATTGTCCTGCTCCGTCTGATTTGCTACATACACTAAGAGGTTTGTATATCCAAGTGTATATACACTGAAAGTTTACATTATTACTAGAGTCCATTAACAATGTAGGTCAGTGGTATTAACGACCTTCGTGCAGCTAATGGACTCTATGCTCAACACACATTGTAACTTCTCACTAGCCATCAGCTAAGTACACTGGGGGGTTCATTCATCCCTCCACAGTATATAACAATCTTATGGCTTCTCAGTATATTAGTATAAGACAGAGCATCATAGTCATGCACACAGAGAAATGCATGTCCCTTTGTTTATTATACGTTAGAAGTGATCCCTGTCTTACGGACAGAAGTATTCTTGGTTGGTAGTGTCCAGTTTACTCCCAAAGCCAGTGCTATTGACCTCCGGTAAACTCTCGTCATTGGGAGACAAAACAAAAAGACACTGGCGGAAAGTTCAGAGTGGTCATGCCACTTGATCTTTCTCACCTTTCTCTTTCTGTCTACCCACAACCTTTCTTACCTCTCTCTCTCTCTCTCTCTCTCTCTCTCTCTCTCTTTCCTGTCTACCCACAACCTTCCTCACCTCTCTCTCTCTTCCTGTCTTCCTGTCTACCCACATCTCTCTCTCTCTCTCTTTTCCTGTCTACCCACGTCCTTATTTTTATTATTTTATTCAACACCAGTTCTTTCCTTCCCTATTCATTCCATCCTTATTATGACCTAATAATTATTATTAAATTATTTTCGAAAGCGCTAACCCATAAGGGTTACACACACACACACACACACACACCACACACACACACACACACACACACACACCACACACACACACCCAACACCCACACCCACACCCACACACACACACACACACACACACACACACTACCTAGGAAATGGAAGGCAATTAGAATTGATGGAAGGAAGGAGAGAATAGCTCCAATTCTGTGGATCAAAACCCCTCAGCAACTAAGAGGCAACTCTCTCAAGGATAAAATAATTAAGTGTGCATAAAGATAACTATATATAAAGATAACCTTAGATAAAAATACCTGTGTATAAGGAGAGTCAGTCATGAAGATAGCTATACATAACTATATATTAAGATAAACTATTGTAACATCGTGCAAGGTAAACAAACTTAATTTAGAATAAACCAAGTATTTTCATTCCCGTGTATGGCACCAAGGTAAGCTTGCCGGAAATTAAAGTATACTTGTTGGGAATCGAAGTATATTTGCTGGGGAATAACGTATATCTACTGGGAACTTCAGTACAATTACATAATACAGTACATTACATAATATACTTCTGGGAAGTATATTATGTAATGATCATGTGATCAACTGATGAAATATGTGATTAAAATGAATTAGAATTATTTTTAAATGGGTATACATGTAAACCAGCGGAAGGCCTCGGTCACATGACCAGAAGCTCCAGTGACGGTGTATCATAAGACCAAGACCCGCGACAGGAAATGCTTGCCCTGTCTCCTGACGAATCTTGACTAACCTATGTGATTAATTATTAAATTACATAATCAACTAATAAAACTGTATATAATTAAGCAGCCACCAGATCAAGGGGGAACCATTGTAATTATCACATATCAACAAGACTGAGTCATAACTCAGTACTTCAGCTGAAAAAAACAATATTTCTCCAATTTAGTGACTTCCTCCCCCAATGGAGGCTACTACGTTGTTGTAATAATGATTATATAATACAAAGGAGTGCAGCGTAGAGAAGGTCCATAGTGAAGGTCCGTAGTGAAGGTCCGTAGTGAAGGTCCGTAGTGAAGGTCCGTAGTGAAGGTCCGTAGTGAAGGTCCATAGTGAAGGTCCATAGTGAAGGTCCATAGTGAAGGCCCGTAGTGAAGGTCCGTAGTGAAGGTCCATAGTGAAGGTCCATAGTGAAGGTCCATAGTGAAGGCCCGTAGTGAAGGTCCGTAGTGAAGGTCCGTAGTGAAGGTCCGTAGTGAAGGTCCATAGTGAAGGTCTGTAGTGAAGGTCCGTAGTGAAGGTCCGTAGTGAAGGTCCATAGTGAAGGTCCATAGTGAAGGTCCATAGTGAAGGTCCATAGTGAAGGTCCATAGTGAAGGCCCGTAGTGAAGGTCCGTATTGAAGGTCCGTAGTGAAGGTCCATAGTGAAGGTCCGTAGTGAAGGTCCGTAGTGAAGGTCCGTAGTGAAGGTCCGTAATGAAGGTCCGTAGTGAAGGTCCGTACTGAAGGTCCGTAGTGAAGGTCCGTAGTGAAGGTCCGTACTGAAGGTCCGTAGTGAAGGTCCATAACAATAGTCCAGTGTACCACAAACACTATTTTTGCATTATAAAATCATCACAACAATCCAATATCTTCCAAAATACAACCACATAATTATTAATATACAAAAACAATAAAATAAGCTAGTGACTTTAATAAAAAAAACTTGCTAGTCTGCCTTTTTGTTTTGTGACTTGAGTTAAGAAAAATGCTAAGTTATGCTTGATTTTGAGTGCGGTTTAAAAATGTTGCAGCTTGCAGTGTGGAGCAAAACATATTCCCATTAGAGAGCTCTAATGTATTTGGCTTTTGTTCATGAATTTTTAAGCAGGAGTTATCCTCGGTGTTACTCTCTGAATAAGTATGAGACTTTAAACTGCTTTGCATACCAGCTCAGAGTTTATGCTTTGCAACGACAGGGGTCTTTGCAAAGGATAAACTTTGCAAAGCATAAAAAACACGTAGCTTATTGCCTTGTAAATCCACTGATTTACAAATCCACTGGTTTAAATATACGTTTTTTTAAATACTACTAATTTAAATACCACTGGTTTCATTATGTTATCGATGGTTAAAATGGTATTACTTCACAATACTACCGGTTTACAGTAAACCTTCCCTATAAAACTACTAACACAATACCAATAACTTACAATACCACTGACTTACAATATCACTGACTTACAATACCACTGACTTACAATATCACTGACTTACAATACCACTGACTTACAATACCACTAACTTACAATACCACTGACTTACAATACCACTGACTTACAATACCACTGACTTACAATACCACTGACTTACAATACCACTGACTTACAATACCACTAACTTACAATACCACTGACTTACAATACCACTGACTTACAATACCACTGACTTACAAACCACTGACTTACAATACCACTGACTACAATACCACTGACTTACAATACCACTGACTTACAATACCACTGACTTACAATACCACTAACTTACAATACCATTGACTTACAATACCACTGACTTACAATACCACTGACTTACAATACCACTGACTTACAATACCACTGACTTACAATACCACTGACTTACAATACCACTAACTTACAATACCATTGACTTACAATACCACAGGCCTATAACACCACTTTCTGGCATTACGACTGTCACACGATATCACTGACTTAAATTCACACGTAAACCAATACAGCAGCTAACTATAATTGCAATCCTCAGACCTCGTTTGTTCTCTCTGCACATACCAGTTGATCAAAGCGAAGGATCGGGATGAGGCTAGAGGCCGGAGGATGGAGTCTCAGCTGCAACACGATGCAAATCTATCAGAAAATAAAAAAAAAATCCGAAATAATACCCAAAAATCCTGCAGCTTGTGATTTAGACCCTCTCTTTACAGCCATATTATACTCACAAAATTATGCAAAAGCAGTTTTATGAAACGCGTCCGTTCGTACATCAGAGAATATTACACTCTGGTGTTCTGGAAAAAAAACAAGTATATGACGTTCGTGTTT